AACATGTCCACACTGCTACTACCAGGAAGGGGAAGGGACAGGGGTCAAGGGGACCCCAGATCAAGCAGTGTCCTTCCCAACGGTGCATGGACCCACAGGGGCCAGAAACAGCAGGCTGAGACAGAGAATGGTAACGGGGTCTGTTGGCAGCCCCGGGCAATAAAACAGGTCTGTTCAGGATGAAATGGGGCCAAAACCAGGGACAAAGTTACAACATGCCTGAGAGATCCATCTAGGAGACAAGGAGCTGCAGCGCGAGTCCAAGGTCCTTCCAGGTGGCCAAGAGAGAGGACTGGAGACAGGTGCCTGAAACACAGCTCAGGAAGGCCTTGAGACCTTAGGCCGAGCCTGGATGGGCCTGTGAGCAGTGGGGTGAGGGTGTTCAGGGCCATTAAAGTCTATTAATGCCCTTAAACCTTGATAGTTTCCAGCTAAGTCAGGAAATAATAGCAGGAAAACTGAGTTTTGACCGACTGGTACTAGCAAGAGACCAAACCCAATCTCTCGTGGAGACTTCTCCTTCTAGAGACTCCTCTCTCCATTAAGACTCCACTGACAAGGGCTGTCCTGGGGAATTTAACCCCTCTTTTCGCTTTCCAGGCTGAAAGAATTGGACACGAACCTCGCTCTGAATCACCAGGAATGTTCACCTTAGATGACAGTAAGTCTTCAAGGATCACCAGCTTCTCAAGGAGGGGAAATTTATTTTATAATGTACGGATGCAAAGGACCACAAAGGAATAAACACCACTCCAAATTTATAGACCTGCATGTAAATAAGGAGTGTGGTCATGACCTGACATGCACCTTCTGTGTAAAGAATGTAAAACATGTAGAGGAAATGAAGGAGAAAACAGCATTAAACTTGAACTGAACCTAACCCTTCTGGATCCCCAAAGTCTTGGGATAACTCTGAAGTCAGAACTACACCACCACATGAACTTCACAACCAGAGAGGGCTTTTAAGGAACAAATAAATCACTCACAACCTCTTCCCCACTGTGCATTTTCAGATCCGACAGCATACCGAAGCCAGGCAGGAAATATTGCCCTGGTTGCACTGCAAACAATAGAGAAAAATACATTTCTAATATATTTGTTATTTTTGGGGGGGAAAAAAGTATTTTTTCATGAGAAACCCCTTCTCTACCGCAAACATACTGAAAAGTGAGTCGTGAGATGGATATTCATAACTTGACTATATTCTTGTGCTCCAGTTGGACACTTTGATTCACACTTTGTAAGAGTTCAAGCTGTTGATATGAGACATGAGTTATAGCAGCAAGTTTCAGAGCTGCTCAGGAGACCAGACCATCTACAGCTGGTTTCTGTAATTGTATTAAGCCTTAAGAGCTGGTGTCTTTGAGGTGGTGTCAACTGAAGTTCAACCTCAGAGATGCGTGCAAAAATTTTGCAAAAAAGCTCATCCAGAATTTCAAGAATCCCTGATATATGGGCTTAGAAAAATGAAAACTTATTTTTCATCCTTCAGTGGTAACATGAGATTAATCAGATATGACAACAGATTAAGTCTGATTTTCAGTGGCAGATGTGAAGTGCTTACCTTCCAGTGATGACTAGTATGGGCATTTCCTTGGCATAGGGTACTTTTTTGCACTTTTTCTTCAACCCACCTTCAACTACAGGGAGGGACGACTTTTTACGAGCGAGGAAATGGTTCCAGAAATCCCACTTCTCCTCCCAAGCTCCAAGCTCCCGGTGCAAAAGAGCATGTCAGAGAAGACTGCGGTTCTGGAGACATGAGCGAGCAACTGCAGAGAAATCAGGACTGGAAATATTCCTGGAGCATTCCAGCAGGATGACAAAAAAAGGCTCAATGGACAGAATTTTTCAATGTTTTGCTGCCCGTTCCAGCCGACCATTCAGCAACAGAACAGTCTGTGTCTCACCACACTATTCTCACTGGAATTCTCTTCCAGGAGAGTGGGAATATCTCCTCAGTGAGACACCAGGCAGCCAACCCATGGGGACCTACTTCTGACAGCAGCCAGAAATAGATATTCAGAGAAAGAATATAAGAACGGGGATGATCCATCTCTGGTGCCCTTTTCCCACTCCATCAATGAAGGCAAAGAATCTACAAGCTCTTTTTCTCTAGCTAACTACTGGTCTGCAAGCCCAGATTTTTGCAGTTGAAACATAGGACATTGAAAAAAAATACTCAAACATTTACTCAGCCAAAGATAGTCCTGTCCAGAAGTCTTCTAGCTTCTTGAAATGCCCATCTTTGCTCCAGACAGATGAGAGCTGGATGAATACCTGGTGCAAAGGAGAATCTCCTGATTCCCACAGCCACCTTCCCACACCACCAGCCTTTGTGGTAAATCATCTACAGACAGATGTGATTAATCACCCTCTGGAAGCACTGATTGCTCAGAGTTGAGTATAAAGGAAGCACTGATTCCTTGTGGTCTGAAAGTCACTATTTCCCCTTGTTATGCTGAATTAGTACATCAGCCCTACTTAGCTTTTAGACCTCTGACAAGGAGGTCACCTTATGAGGTGTATCATATTCTCTGCTTCCTGAGTTCTTCAGACCAAAGCCCAGGTTTCACCCTTCCAGAAGTCATGGGGCTCAAGACTGGAATAACTGGATAAAATTTCATATTTAGACAATTTCCTCCACACAAAAATCAACAAATTTATTAAAATATTTGGTCTCTTAAAATTTTTGCTGTTTACGGGAAGTTTTGAACAGAGAATAAGCACTTTTAAAAAGTTTTACCAAATTAGAGTTAGTTGTTTGTGATGTAAATGCAATGATATCTGGGCTTGTGCTTACAAGAAGTAATTGCAGTGTTATGGATGGGACCACTTGCCTTCGGGATTAAAATGATTGTGTCTTTGTCTCAGGAGGAACACTCTGAAATTATGTAATTTCTGTTCTTCTGCCAGTTTGTTATCACTCCGACAAGTTAAATCTTTGGGAAAGAACAAGCCATTCCATGTTTATTTCTCATCAGCAACTAGCTTCTTCATTTCTTCTTCAGATTTTGTTTTTTGGCGGGGGTGCAGTTTGATTATTTTGCTCTCAGTGCTCCTGTTATGGATCAGTTTCAACCTTTACAACAGCTGGGCCTTTTCAGGTATGGAAAAAACATTCTTTAATTCTACAGTTCTTCATCACTGAGATGTGTCAGGATGATTTCGAGGTATTTTAGCCTATGTGAGAAATCACATAGGTTCAATGCACGCTTGTCACTGATGGTGATAAAATATCTTTTAACCACGGGCTTTTGTTTTTGTCTACATTTTCCTCACCTACAAAACATGTGGCTCCCACCCTTTAAAGTGCTTCAAAATCAAAAGAGCTGCTGCATATTCATGCCAGTTATAAGGAAAGGATCTTCAAAAATGGATAAGTGACTTAGGAGGACAAATCTGAAGTGCATGGATCTTCTTGTGAGTCACTTGGATATGCCAAAGTATTTAGGAAATGAACCTTCCTAAGGAAAATGCCACTGTAGTAATTTATACAGAGTAGATTAGAGTAGATTTCCTCCCCTGTTGTCAGAGGCTTTCACAGTTTTCAAATCCTGAGGGTTTCTTTTCTTCTTTTCTTTTTTTTTCTTTTATTTTTTTAATGTGGTATGATAGGTATCTGAAACATGGCTCTAACTTGTTTGTTGAAGGCAAAATTTAATTGTTCTGTGCCTACACAGTGTTGTGGTGTAATTGTGAATGTCTGATCAGTCAGAGTTTGAATGTAGCTGTTTCTGTTGGCACAGGCTTTAAAAAGCTTGTGTGTCTACGTGCTTAAAAGAATGAAAGGCGGGGAGAGAGAAATCATGTTACAAGTTCTGCATCCATGTGAAGATATTGAATTTCACACTGCTCAAGTTCTCACAGCTGGCATCAAATTTGATAAAGAGCCCATGTGATCTAGAGAGTTTGTGTCTTCTAATGAGAATAGACATTCATTCTCATTAAACATCAGGGATCAGACTCAGCTCACGTGATTTTGGGTGTCTGTATATGCTTGCCACACTTGCATGTTTGTCAGTGCAGATCTAGTTGACTTGGCCAACAAAGTCTATAGAACAAGTAATTTTTTCAAAGAGTATTAGCAGAATTATTTCCTCAGCCCTACTGACTGCATCTTTACTCACTATATTGGGCTCAAATGCAGTTGCCTCGGGCTTCTGTGGTTACTTTAGACAGCACAGGACATGTCACTGGGATCCAGAAGCACTTCTGGTAACCTGCAGTGTCAAATGGCATTTAGTAACATCTTCCCAACATTATTATTGCACAGACATCCAGGATCCAGCAACTATGAGCATATTACTCTCAAACTTTTGAATCATAATGAATGTCTAAGCACTTCTTAGACAACACAGCGTAAAGAAGGAAAATGGACATTAGAAGATATAGCAATGAGAATGCCATAAAATCCTAGGTATATAACTCGGTTGGAAATACTGCTTTGTTAAGTAAGGCTTGTATGTTGAGTATTTTAGCTTTACTGCAGGAAACGGATAAGGAGCTAGGCATATTTTTCTGAAAATGCAGAGTTTTGTCATAATGAAAGTGTTTGAAGGACAGCTTCATTAAGAAGTCTCCTTTGTGTTTCTTCCCATATTAAGAAAGAACATTAAGAAGAAAGCAAGCTTTTAACACTATCTGTTCTCTGATACTTTTTTCCCCCTTTTTTAAGAAAAAAAGAGTGTCCTGTCAATTCAAATTCATAAATTAGGTATTGTACAGTTAAATGCAATTAGACCACAACCACCATGTTCTGGTATTCAGCTAAATCTACTGTGAGAAAATATCAACGTTTTCTCTTCTCTTCGCCATGCAACATTAAATGGATATTAAATGGTTGCAATGCTGCATATGTGATACATGCTTTTCCATGGCAGCGCATCTCTTCCCTTTTTTTAAGGAGTAAAATATGTGCTATTGTTACACTCTTGCAGCAGATTTGAGCTGACTTTGTTACTATTTCTTATCTTGACAGCTAAAGCATTGGAACAATAATGGCCAAGGAAAACCAAAGCGTAGTGACAGAGTTCATCTTTCAAGGCCTTTCCAGCCAGCCAGGGACGCAGGCTCTTCTTTTCGTCGTGTTCCTCTTTTTTTATGTGTTCACAGTGGTTGGGAACACCGTGATCATTACAGTGATCAGAGCCAGTCACCAGCTGCGGTCACCCATGTACTTTTTCCTCGCCAACCTGTCCTTCTTAGACATCTGCTACGTCTCCACCAGCATCCCACAGACGCTGGTGAACCTCTTGACCCAAAAGAAGACCATTTCTTTCTCTGCCTGTGCTGCTCAGATGTATTTCTCCCTAGCTTTTGGCATGACAGAGTGTATCCTGCTTGCGGTCATGGCCTATGACCGGTACCTGGCGATATGTCAACCCTTGCACTACACCACTGTCATGAACAGGAAACTTTGCTCTCACATGGCTTTGGCCTCCTGGACCAGCAGTCTGCTGAGCTCCATGGTCATCAACAGCCTCGTCTTGAGGTTGCCCTTCTGTGGACCTGACACCTTGAATCATTATTTCTGTGAAGTGCCAGCTGTGCTGGCTTTGGCCTGTGCTGACATCGCCCTCACAGAGATGGTGGTTTTTGTCTTCAGCATCCTCATTGCCTTCATCCCCTTTCTCCTGATCGTCGTCTCCTATGGCCAAATTCTTTCAACCATCTTGCAGATCCGGCCTACCCATAGGCAATCCAAAGCCTTCTTCACCTGCGGGTCCCACTTGATGGTGGTAACCATGTTCTATGGGACGGCCATCTGCATGTACATGAATCCTAGGTCAAGGACCCCACAGGACGGGGACAAAGCGGTGACAGTGTTTTACACCATTGTGACCCCCCTGCTGCACCCCCTCATCTACAGCCTCAGGAACAAGGACATGAAGGATGCCTTGAGAAGGGCTCTTGCTAGCCCCAAATCCCTGCTGATCTGAAGAGGCTGCGTGGCTGGTGGTGGCTCATTGAGCTCTGAGGGGAATGTGAATGTGTTTAGGTTATTTCTCTGGTGTGCTAAATTCAACAGGGCCCAACAAAAAGAAATCACATATAAATAACTTTCTAGATAGCTTTTGGTATTTGGATTTAAATAAATAAAATAAATACATACATAAAAACATAATAAAGGCATTCACTTCAACCTGCCTCAAGCCAGTAATTCATTTAAAGGTGAAATAGAAAATACGAGTAGAGGCAAGCAGTGATAACATGAGCCATTGCTGTGATTTCTCTTCACACTTGCAGATTTGCCAGCCTCTGTTGTATTGTTCTGTATTTTATCACAAGTGTAAGGAAGAGTAACCGCCCCTCTTTTCATCTCAAGCTTTGGCTGAGGACTGCTCTGGCTGGTTAGCAAAGAAAACTGCCATCTGCTCCAATAAATGGTACAGGTTTTTGCAACTAGTAGCTGTTTCCTTGTGCTATGTGTGCTTCTCTCAACCGGGTTTCTGCAACCAACTTTGGGTTTCAAGGAGTCCGGGCAGTATGAAGAATATTTCAAAATACTCCTGAAGTTACTAACGGTTAAATTAGCCTTCTGGAAGATGTGCTTTGTGCTCATATTCCTGTAAAACTGGTGGGTTTGTTCCCCACATAATAGTTTTCTCTGGACGACTGTGCCTCCTCCTTTCTTTGGTGGGGGTTTATTTCCTACTCAGGGACATTATAGTCTGCATCAGTGGGTGCCCATGCTAGAGAGGACATACCTGCAAAGTTATTCCAACTTCCTATTGCCATCTATAACTGTCACTTCAATGATTAAATTTAGATGGGAATAATTGAAACCTAGAGGAACCTACAGAAAATTCTTGCCTCATGGACTTTAAAGTCTAAATAAACCAATGTTGAAAAATGAAAGCAAGAAAAAAAAAAAAAAAGCTCTGCTCTAAGAAGTTATCAGCTAACACAAATCTTCCTAGAAGATATTCCCCTGCTAATTGACCTGGGGGGGCAACTCTAACTGAGCATCAGATAGGCGAAAACAACTGTGAAATCAACCTAAAACCAAGGGCAAATCCATGATTTTGATGGCTGTTTGGGGCAGTACAACTGGCGAGCGAGGATCTCTTAAAATAATCTGTTATTCTTGAGGTCCGAGTTTGTCAGTAATGCCGTTCTCTTCCCAGTAAAGATGCCTAGACAACTGGTTTCATATTTCATAGGCTTAAGCCCTGTGAACCCCTCTGCACTTCGTTGTAGTGCAACTCTGCTATTATAGTAAGAGGTGTCAACACCACTGAGCTTTCAAGGGAGTAAATAAAAGTTTTTTGGGGCGCATTTTAGGGACATTTAGACTAATCTATCGATTGGGACATCTAAGGTAGAAGATAAGCTTAGCACCTGGCTGACCTGAGCACCTAAGACCTGTTTAACTTGGGATTTAGGTGAAATTTAGGTTGGACACGTTTGGTCCTCTTGTATACAAGAGGCAAATAGACAGTTTCTTTTCCTCTGTGATAACTCCCATAAAATTTTCTCCAGCAGATTCTGTTGGGTGGCCTGGTTAACTCAGATTTGTTCCCATCATTATTTTCCTCAGGGGACTTGCTATTCTTCTCTCTGGTTGTCTACCACTTCTTCCAGCATTTATGCTGGAAAAGGTAGATGAGTTAAGGAAAGCTGGAATTAGGCAGATCAAAGCTTATCAAACCCACTGCTCAATCCCCAGCAACCAACCAGTACCAGAAGCCTCTGAGGAACATGTCAGGAAAACTGGATCAAGCATAAGGAAAACTGTTAACAAAGCGCAGTGAGGAACAGCTGACTTTCTGGTCTCCCAAGATGAGATTCATCTCACGTGTTTTTGAAAACCTGAAGTTAAGCATTCGAGCCCAAGCTAGCTCCCCAGGCCATGGGGTGGTCCTCTGGGCTCCCTTTACAGTCCATGGGCAGAAAACCCTTCTCATGCTACCTTAAATGTCTGAATACCAGTGAATTTTCCATAGAATCATAGAATCCTTAAGGTTGGAAGGGACCTTTAGAGATCATCTAGTCCAACCCCCCTGCACACACAGGGTCACCTAGAGCACATGGCACAGGACTGCATCGAAGTTTTGGAGATCTCCAGAGAAGGAGACTCCACAACCTCTCTGGGCAGCCTGTTCCAGTGCTCTGTCACCCTCATTGTCAAGAATTTTTTCCTTAAGTTCCTGTGGAAACATAGGCCCCTCTCAGAGTCCAAAAGCTAGACTGGGATTTGTTTGCTTATGGCACAAAGCAGCAGAGCAAAGGGCTCCTTACCCTGCTTCAAGCAGGGGTAGAAAAGCTCCAGGGGGATCTGAAGAGGGCCCATCCATGAGGAGCACGAGTCATGTGGCTGCGTAGATGTGGATTTGGGCAGTGTAGCCCGTTGTTTCCCAAACAACTTGTTGCTGGACAGAATTGCTCCTTCACAGCCGGCGCGAGAGGCGTTCGGCCTGAACTCTGCAGCTGCAGCAAAAAACCAGAGCAGGCACCAGCTGTTGCCGGAGGAATACATTGCTGGGATGTTTTACGTGTGAATGAAAGACTAGGAAAATAGTCCTTGGCTTAAAATCTCATTTATCCGAAAAGACTAATAATGGAAATATGCTTGGGGTAAGAAGAAAAATAACAAAAAGAAAGTACAGTGCAAACAATGCTGTTTTACAGCCATCTGTTCTGTGGTATTTGTTCCTATTCTGCTGCCTTTCTATTAGTCCAGGAAAAGTGGCTCCATTTAGACACCTATTTTAAGATGGAGCTGAACAATTCCCTTTTAAACTACAAGACTTAGGTAAGCTGAATTACAGTCATCACAGATGTGAGCAAAAAAAACCCCAGGCACGCCAACACTTTCCCCCTTCCCCTCCACCCAAATGATTTTTTCGTTTGTTTGGTTTTAACAACATACCTAAAAATAGAGCTCATTGCAGATATACAAATTTGTAATTACATCTTCCATGGTGTACAGTCTATTCTAATGTTTGCCCACACAAAACAAAGCAAAAACCTTAACAGTCAGCATTCGTACTGATGTGGTTTCCTCTACAAGATAGCTGGAAGAGTCCCAACATTGAGTAAATATTTTATTTATCCTTTTCGGCAAGCTTGGTGCAGTCACTCATAGATGCAGGCACCAGAAGTGAGCACAGGAGAGGACCTAAACGAGGGATAATCCCAGCCCTGGCTCCTATTGCTCTATCAGGCATTGATGGCCTGAGCCCAGGTTCTGGAGAGACAGGTCTGGGCTCTCCTGTTACTGCCCTGGCTGTGGCTATTACCTTTCTCAATATGTCACGAAAAGAAGAAACCCCAGAGCATGATCCTGGCATTCAGCGGTGCCTGGTCAGCTGCTCTCCATGCTTCTGCCATGTGAAGTATAAAAAACGGTTATGAGGACAGCTCCAGGTTGTCTGGAGTTTGAACTGGGTGACCTGCGTGCTGGAGTGACCCACATCTCCCCCAGTGTCCTCTGGAATAGCTGAAACCTTTAAGGATAGATAAGGCCTTTACCAGAGTCAGACATGAGCCTTCCCTAAAGCAACCCAGGCTCCAGTGGTATCTAAAGGACTTCTCAAGTGTTTTATTTGTTTTTCTTTGGAGTGAAGAACAGGCAAAGATGAAGCATCTGATTTGTGAAAGTCAAATGCATAGGACCAGTTCACGTTAGTGAGAACAAGAAACACCTCTTCTTTAATCAGACCAAATGAGAAGTCTCATCTAGCAGCCAAAAGAGGTAAGAGCTAAAGCTTGACCCTCTGGAAGCCTCCTGACTAGCCCAAACTCCAAAATCCCATCTGCTAGGTGGTTAAATCCATTTCTATCATAAATGACCCTGCTCTCCTTCCCAAAACAAGACCCTTGCTCTGGGAGCCAGCCAACCTTCCAGGAGTCATCAGCTTAACAAGCTCTTCTGGGCGTTAGGAAGAAAGTCTCTAATGACCCTGAAACCTTCTTGGAGAGCTCACAGTCATCTCACCTCATTCTTCCTAACAAGCCACTTGAGGACAACCTCAAAGAGACTAATAAGAAGGAAAGTTTTTCTTTGTTAATGGCAAACTTTTAGAGCACTTTTAAAGCTGTTCATTTTGCCATGACTATACCAGCCCTAAAATCTGTGGCTAGAGAGCTTATGGGTCAGTATGTTGGTGTGCACCTCCCTAGTCACTGTTACACAGGGTAGCACCAGAGGTTGAAGAGGTTTTCACAAGTCTGTAATCCTTACACCAGCAGCTAAGGCAGCTTCCCCTTGCCACCAAGGCCAGGGTTGGCAGAAGGGGCCACCAAGGGTTGGCAGAAGTCACTTAGCACCTTGCAGCAAGTGACCTTACATGGGCTGCAGCACAGAGAGCTAGGAAGCTCAGGATGAAGGAGACTCCCCCCGAACACGCTATAAACAAGCATCAACGGCCAGCAAGAGGGTCCATAACCAGCCCCAGACACTACAAGAGCTGGACTGGATCCAGAGTCCATCCTGGGGCTCCCATCAAGAGCTAAAGGAAACAAGTCAGTGGTGGACACAAACTGCTATGTTTGTCAAAGGTTCCTCTAGGAGGGAAGCTACCTACCGTGCAGGTCTGAGGTTCATTCTAGAGACAAAGCAGGAGCCAGAAACACCTACAAAACAGCTCCCGACCCAAGCGGTGCTACGTCCTCAGCTCATGGATGCTAACTGTGCTGGTGGTTCTTAGTTGCTTTCTGCTGCTTGAGGGGTGGAAGTCCATGATGTGACCTCCATGGCTGGCACTATGGGTAAAAGCATGGCTTGATCTGCAGCAATCTCAGGCTCACGCAAACACTTTCCTGCCCCCTCCCTCTTCAACGCATTATAAAACATCATCCTGCCCAACACAGGGCTGACTGTAAGTGCTAAGATGTACATCTACTTCACAGCACTTCCCCTAGATACAGTATTAAAGGTGGTTAACATGTTAAAAATGCTAAATTATGTGAAAAGCACTACCACTCTTAGTGAATCCAGCTATTCACGCAGACCCACATCTTGGCAGGCTTCAGGGAGTAGATAAGCTCCCACCTCTGGCTCAGAGGGGATTTGAGAACCTCATTTATCTCCAAGAACTTCATGGCATCACAGCCTCTGCCTGATTACCAGAGCCTGTGTAGCTCCTGATGTGGGGTCATCAGGTCCTACCCAGGTGGCAAGGCAGCCCACGTCCAGCTGAGCCACACGCTTGGTGCGTGGGCAGCGATGCCTGGAACGGATGACATTCCCCCGCCCACAGGGGACCAGGGAGCAAAGTGATGCCTCTGTCACCTCACCAGGGATGCAGGTGAGGCCTGAAGCCCCACCAGGGTAATGGGCAGCAGTTCTCATTGCAGCCGCATGCAGGGGACCCACCAGTGTTCTGGACACGCAGGATGGCACCCAAGTCTGGGGTGCTGCCTGCACCACCACAGCCAAGGAATGGATGGGGAAAAGGGAAGCGGTGCAAGTAGGATGGCAAACAACCCTTCCCTAGGTTTCTCCCCTTGATAATTTAGGAAAAAAAAAATCAGTGATTTCCTAGGTGGTGATTGAGATGAGCACGTCATTTCCAGCTCTGCTGTAGGAGGGGGTGTATGGCACGTGCTCCAGAAGCACTCTGCAATGTGGAGCTGACCAATGTGGGCAAGGGAGGGGGGGTCAGGAAACAGAGCACGATGCAGAGACCTGCGCCCCGAGGTGCGCTCGAGGGAGCCAAGCGCAGGAAAGTGCTGGGCAGGAGGATGGCAAGTGAAATTCAGCGTGCCTATATGTAAAGCAGTGCACAGGAGAAAATAAAGAGCATGCACTTCAGCTCAGAGCCCTGGGTTTTGTACTGGGTCGCGTTTGAAACAGCTCATCCTGTTCTTTATACATACAGAGGAATATAATGAGTCTTAGGATATGAAGTCATACATTTAATATCCTGGAGGGTCATGGTGGTCAACAATTCAGGTAGCACAACACTTCATGATTCAGCCTAAAAATATCTAGATATATGAGTGTAACATCATGATGTCCATCATTAACAAAAGTTTACATTTTACTGAGTCTTTTTAAATAGTCTTCATTTAATACTGTATGTTCACATTCATGTTCACTGGGCATATGTATTTGGGAAATATGGGTAGGCTGCTTGACAAAAATAGAAAACAGAAACAAATAGCTTTGGCTAACAGGAAAAAAAAAAGACATGGTGCTAAGCAGCTGAAAAAAACTTGGAGAGGAATTTCAACATTCACATACTTTAAGAGAGTCCATGGAAAGATGCATCACCCATTAAGACAGTGTTCATGAAGGACTATTTCTTTTCCTGCTAGAATAATCTCATCCAATTCATTTCACCATTTTCTTCTCCTCGTGGCTGTGTTGTTATTCAGAGGGGTCTCATCAAGCTGGAGAATGGAGCAGAGAGGAGCTTCATGAAGTTCAACAAGGGGAATTTCAAAGTCCTACCTCTGGGCAAGAATAACCCCGTGCACCAGGACAGGCTTTGGGCCAACTTGCTGGAGAGCAGCTCTGCAGAGAAGGACCTGGGGGTCAGGGCAGACAATTAGGTGACCAAGAGGCAGCAAGGTGCTCTCGGGGCCAAGAAGGCCACTGAAAAGACAAAATAAAATGTAGGAAATTCTACTTACACATAAGAAAAAGCTTTTTATTGTCAGGATGATCAAACATTGGAACAGGGTGCCCAGGGAGGTTGTGGAGTCTCCATCTTTGCAGATATTCAAAGCCTGACTGGACACAGCCCTAAGCAACCCAGTGTTGCTCATTCTGCTCTAAGCAGTGGGCACGGGCTAGACTTCTCAAGAGGTTCCCTCCAACCTTAACCAATTCTGGGATGTTGCGTGCAGATACACCCCAGCACCATCTCCAGCTCCTAAAGTGGGAATAGAACTATTACATGGTGGATAGAGGAACTGGACAAGAAGCTTGTTTTTCAGACAAGAAAGACGTAGCTATGTCAGTGGGCACAATCAATTTGCTATTTTCCCTAAAACACTAATTAATTTTCCCATCCCAGTCCTTGAGTCTTCAAACAGCTTGGGAAGCAGCAATACTGTGTGAAACATTCCTTTTCAAAAGAAAGGGCGGGGGGAAGTGTATATATATGAAATAAAAATGACTTTCAAAAGCACATTTTCCTACTGATAGTATTGATAATATTGATTATGGCATGCTTCACCTCCTTGTTCCTCAGACTGTAAATCAAGGGATTCAGCATGGGGACTATAATACTATAAAAGATGGATGCAATTTTCTTATTTTCCATTGAGTTCATTGAACTGGGTTGCATGTAATTGAAAGCAGCAGATAGGTAGAAAACGGTGACGGATGCCAGGTGGGAGGCGCAGGTGGAGCAGGCTTTGCGCCGGCCTTCAGCGGAGGGCATCCTCACGATGGTCGCCGCGACGCGCGCGTAGGAGACGATGATGAGCAGGTTGGTGGCGGTCCAGTTGAAGCCCACAAACAGAAACATCACAACCTCATTGACCCACGTGTCAGTGGAGGAGAGAACGAACAACGGGGGCCCATCGCAGAAGAAGTTATTGATGACCTGAGGGCCACAGAAAGAGAGTCGGAGCAAGGCGCTGGTGTGGGCCAGGGCATTCAACAGTCCGGCAAGGTAGGACCCAGCGACCAGGCACCTACAGAGCCCAGGGGACATGATGACCCCGTAGAGCAGGGGGTTGCAGATGGCCACGTAGCGGTCATAGGCCATGGCAGCCAGAAGGTAAACCTCAGCCGTGACAAAAACAGCATAGAAGTGAAACTGCAGGATGCAGCCAGGGAAAGAAATGGCCGTGTGTTTTTGTGAAAGATCCAGCAGCATTTTGGGGCTGATGGCACAGGAATAGCAAATGTCCAAGAAGGACAAGTTACTGAGGAAAAAGTACATGGGGGTGCGGAGCTGAGGACTGACCCTGACCAGCACAACGATGCTGAGGTTTCCCACCAGAGTCAGCACGTAGCTGCCCAGGAAGAGGGCAAAAAGGATGGGCTTCAGGCGGGGATGCTCTGTGAGGCCCAAGAGGATGAAGTGGGTCACCCTGGTGCAGTTCTCACCAGTCATTTGTACTGTGGAGAGACCTGGAAGGGAGTGAAAAAAACGCTGGATGATATTTCCACTTCAGAACTTCCAATGTGAGAAGCTGACACCGCTTTTGAGGTTAAATGGAAAAGGGGGAAAAATGTAAAAGAACTGCTGATTTCCTTTCTTGCAGTGACTGTGACACCTTTGGAAGAAAAACAAAATCAGCCGTTTCTAGAAATTCTGAAGACAAATTTCCCCTTAATCATTTCCTTTCCAGCTGAGAGTATTGCTCTCTTTTGCATAGGTAATTTGAAAATGCTCAGGCAAATATCTAAAATAGCTGCTGTTACATTGGAAGTCCAGAGCTGACTGTAATTAAGTAATATAGAGGTGATGAAACATACCTAATTAGAAACTTCTGTGCTCAGTCAAGTGAGGATACCCTCAGATTAATTACAGAATGGCATACAATGTCTCTAGTCGTAGTAGCGCCCTTCAAATGCCCTTTAAATATATTGGCATGCCTTACACTGTCATTTTCAGAGGCTTTAGAAAGGATTTTCCGGTGTGTAACAGAATGCCAACGTGTTCCTCCAGCTCCAGCCCAGCGCATGATAAAGTCCTTGCCTTTTACTTCTGCTAAGATCTTTATTGAGGAGCTCTCCCATTATCCAAGAAGGTGCTTGCAAAAATAAATGAATAAATAAATAGGAAAGCTTGGGCTGTCCTGTCTCATCCGTTCCCCCAGATTCCTTCTTGTACGTTACAGGAGGCATGCTTGTTTTCTCATTCACACACCACGTGTAGAAGCATTATGTGATGTACACTGCCATTTCCCACCTCTTCTTTTATATCTTCACTGCATTGGTTATTAGCAGTATCTTACCAAGGTCTTTAGCTTTCCCAGCCTTACACTGGCACTCCTGCAGCTCATCACAGTCTTCCTCCGTGGGCAGGTCCGATCATTACCCAGGTGCTGAAGGAGTATTTTGTCCAGACACGAAGTTCTCAAAATGTCAATAGAGACATGTGAGGATAGTCAATACCTCACCGTTCAGCATCTCTTTGTCTTAGAAGGTCACCCATGTTCACTCCATTCAATCATCTCCCAATTCCTCGGCAGACATCAACTCAGTGAGGACTGAGTGGGAGGCCAAATATAGGCTCGGTCGGTCTCTACAAAACTAGAATGATGTCTCACTGATCCCACAGTCATGGAATAAATTATCGCAGGTTCCCCAGGACACCGGGAAAGCAGAGCAAGCTTCCCCTGAGTACCTAGGATTGCATCATGCAGAATTTTCTCCCTGCAGGATATATTTTGTAAATTCCCCAAACATATCAGAAATAACGCCTGCAGAGGATAGGTAATTATACTTACATGCTTAACTTGGCAAGGAAAAAGTAAACACAAGAGGCTTTTTTTTTGTGTGTGTGTGTGGAAAAATGTGACTAAGAAGGACTTTTTCTGCCTGTGTTTCTGGAGAAACACATACAGTAACTTTTTACTAATGGATCTGTTTGCCCTGGCCAATTAGGTTAAGTTTACTTTTGTTTGTATAACATTTGTAGGGTTTTCGTGAGGTTGGCTGCCCTGTCAGCTTCTTTATAGTCTTTCCAAGGACTCAAGCTACCTTTGGACAGCTTTCCAGGATATATCACTCACCAGAAGCACCTGCTTCTCACTGTACAGGATTCAGGACACCTGGACAGCATGATCAGGGTGAATCCCAACCAGAACGCTGTTTTACCAAGTCTCTGAGTTCGTGTTCATTGAATTTACATTTATTGTTACCAACTCTTTCTTAACTCTAACTTTTGAGTCTAAAAAATAAATACCAGCCTCTGACCTAGTTTACCTGCGGTTCTCTCTGCTCACAAATATGTTCATTTGTAGAAGATCAAGCTTGGCTTTTGCCACAGCGTCCTATGCTCTGTAGTTTGTCTAGTCCTACACGGATAGCTCAACCTGTGGAGAACATAGAAGGCAAAGCAGAGTTTTCTGCAGAACCTGCTTGTTCCAGGCCAGGTCAGTTTGGACCAGCACAGAAGTTCTGACCATGGGAATGGTCTGATCACTGCTCTAGGGCCCCACAGCAGCTGGAGAACCGGGTGCCAAGACAATAGCCCTTCAGATCCTTCAGCGTAACTCCTAACAAGATGCTCTTGAGCACAGGAAACCAGTTTCTTTCTCCAAGGAGATCACTGCCTTGTGTAGCTTTTCTCCTGATGGATGCCAATGCAGAGCTGGTTGTACAGCCCTGCCAGTGTCTCAAGGGTAATTCAGCTACTGCTTTTCCTTCTTCCCTTCCTTCCCCGTCTGCCTGTGGCCACAGCGCGAGAAGCACAGCAGATATCTGGCCCTCACCTCAGCTATGAAGGGCTCTCAGGCATTACATTTAGGCACACAGGCAACTGCAAACAGCTGGGGAAGGGATGAATATGAGTTGTCAGAGAGCATCTGGTAAAGTAAAGAAGTGTCATAAACCTAAAGCATGCCTGTCGGCCACGACTGACATGTTCAGGAGCTGCTTTGCTGTACTCACGCCAGCAGAGAGCAGTGGTGGTATTGTAAGGATGTTTGGGGAGGAAAAAAAAAAAAAAAGGATATCTTATCTCATTCAACATGTTCGTTAGTTTAGTGATACAGTCTCCACATCACAACCTATCCATGGAGATCTGCACAAAGGTCCTGGCTCTTCAGTATGTTCATAGGTGATCACTGAATCGGGCGAATCACAGACGTCAGGAGACCTCTAGACCAATCTCCAACTTAACGCAGTTTCAACGCCAAATTCCTATCGCATTACTCAGGGTTTTCGCTAGTCAAGCCTTGAAAAATCTCCAAGGATGGAGGCTGCATAGCCTGGCAAGGTGCTCTTCCAATGCCTGGCTGCCCTCTGGGGTAAAAACTGTTTTCTGCACAGTCCAACATTTCCATTTCAGTTTATTGTTGCTGTCCCTCATCTCCCTGTGGTACACGTCAGCAAGGAGAATACTATGTGAGTAGTATTTGGCTTTGACTTCTTGATAACCTGCTTTTAGACACGGTGACGTGGCTCTTAGGCCCTCCCAAGGCCTTCTGTTCTTCAGATTAAGCACCTTTCCCTCAGCCTGTTCTCGTAGGTCATGTTCTTCGTCGCTGGCTATCTTGGTGGCCCCTGCTAGATTTACCCAAGTTTATTGACACCATTCTTGCTGTGGGAGGCTGGAGCTAGAGGGGGTACCCACACGTGGTCTAAAGAGCACCAAGGAAGGAGGAACAACCACAGTCCTCCACAGAATGAGACCCAGGAGGCTGCAGGCTCCACTCGCTGCCAGGGCTGGTAACAGGGTCCATTGGCAGCCCCAGGCAGAACAAGGAACGAGCCAGCTCTGGGGTCCATCCAGAAGTGAAGGTTTGAGGCCTATCCAGGAGGCAAAGACCAGGCTGGGGAAAACCACACCTGCAGTGTAGCTTAGGAAGAGGCCAAAGACCCCAGCTTGAGCTTAAGCAGGTCTCCAGGGCATGGTGGTGTAAGTGGGGGTCCAGGTGCAGTGGGATGAAGAAGGCAATAAACGAAGCATTTTAACCAGTTCAGAAAAAAAAATGGTTTTGTTTTTTTGGGTATGGAAATCTCCCATCCTGGCACACACGCTTGCACCTTTTCATCTGCATTATAGAACGGCACCTTCCGTTTAAAGATTGACCTTTATTTTAACCGGCTGAAGGAAATTGCAAAGGAATAACCTTGACGCTATGTCAAATAGAAATGCACCTTTTGGTGTTTCTTCTTTATTTCACACACAGATACATAAACAGAGGCAAATGTACAGACATACATGTGTGTGCACATACATAAATGGAGAGGAACTAACCCACCTAGTATTCTTCCCACCACACTGAGGACAACCTGAGCCAGAACAGATATTGCAATCAAAGCTGAGGTTGCTGGGACACTTGCAAAGCAGAGGTATTGGTCCAGTATCACCAAGTCCACTGTTCCCCAAGAGTGTGTTTGGCTGCCACACGGAAATGAAAACAAGGCGATAATCATGTCCCAGAGCACCATAAGCTTAACTGAAAGTACACGTAATTTTCCATCCCAAAGGTAGGAAAATAATTGCCATCATTTCAATACACACACAAACTTACTTTTTTTTTTTTTTTTTTTTTTTTTTTTTTTTGTGACACTTAGTTCCAGGATAAAACTCTTCTCCCAGGGAGATTATTTGGGAAGAAAGAGGTTCCCTGTGGTCAGAGGATGGTGGAGCCAGCAGACAAAAAGCACTTTGGGTTTGCATGAGACCTTACACCAGAAGCTCAGGGTAGCTCTGCAGATGCTTGGCCCAGCATGTGTTTGGTGGGGTATCTCACCCTACACAACCGGCAGGATAAGGCAAGGCTGAAGCTGCCCAATCAAAGGAAGAGAAGGCAGAAATGTCATTCCTGTTCTTTATTTCTTATTCCAAGTGATGAGGAGGACTTCATCCCCTGGAAGAGGTAAGTTCACACCTGCTGATGTTCAGCAATGTTGCTGGGGCAGCTGGATAAACCGGGCTGAACTGGTCTTAGTTCAGGAGATGGCTGAGGTGAGCTCCCAAAGCCTCTGCTAGCCCTGATTTTATAAACGCTCGGTTAGAGACTGATGGAGAAAACACAAGGAATGTTATGGATAATGCCAAGATTTGGGTTGGGACTGCCATCTTCTTCACTCTCTCTTGGAAAGAGCACAGCGATGGACACTGAAACCTCCAGTCCCAAAAGCAAAATTACCAGCGTGGAACAACTTGTGGCTGAGGGAGTCAAGCCCTGCTGAGTGAGGGAGGGCTTGAACACATATTTATTGCCCATCACAGAAGTCTTGCAGGGCAGCCCCCTTCTAGCAGCCTGTGTCTTCCCTCCGGGTTGATTTCACACCTTCTTGTTGTCCACAGGTCCCGCAGGCTCTCCAGAGGTACCTCTCTCCCTGCTATATGACCCTTTTTTTTAAGCATCACTTACAATATCTGGATATCATCTGACAAGGAAACATTCTGACCACCCAGCGCTGCACAGCTGATTGGAACTCGGCCGTAACTGGAAAGCAACTAATTCCCGAAAGAGGTGGATTAGCTCCTGCAAAGAAGGATTTGGTAGAGCTGCCCACAAGGACTAAAGATGAGACAGAAGGGTTTCCAGTCCTACATCCGATTTCTATAGGAAAGCGATTGCCAGCCCCGTGAAGTTATCTCCTGGGACTACCAGGGCATGGCCACCGAGCTATCTAACACTAGCCCACATGTTAGCTTTTTCTTTCTTCCCACAGACTAGGAAGAAAGGATGGTAGAAAACTGCACTGAAGCGAGCCAGTTCATTTTTGAGGGTTTTTCAGCCAGCTGGGAACTGCAGATTTTCCTTTTCCTGCTTCTCCTGGCGAGCTACGTCATCACGTTAGTGGGGAATCTCGGGCTGATCTTTTTAATCTGGGTTGACCCTCAGCTTCACACCCCCATGTACTTCTTCCTCAGTAACCTGTCCCTTGTGGACTTCTGCTACTCCTCTGTGGTCACCCCACAGATGCTGGCCCATTTCTTTGCCCAGCAGAAAGCCATTTCCCTTCCCCAGTGCGCCACACAGATGTGGTTCTTCAGCCTCTTCGTGGCTACCGAGTGTTACCTCCTGGCAGCCATGGCCTATGACCGCTATGTGGCCATTGCCCAGCCTCTGCTCTACGCCACCTCCATGTCTCCAAAGAGCTGTGCCTGGCTGGTAGTTGGCCCTTACGCGGCGGGCACTGTGAATGCGGTGACACATACCAGCCTGGCTTTCCAGCTACGCTTCTGCGAGCCCAGCGTGGTCAACCACTTCTTCTGCGATATCCCCGCCGTGATCTCCTGCTCCTCCTCGAACACCGGCACCAACGCGCTGGTGCTTTTCTCCCTCTCCTTCGTCCTCGGCACGCTGAGCGTCTGCATCATCCTGGTCTCCTATGCGTACATCCTCGCGGCCATCCTGAGGATCTGCTCCGCGCGGGGCCGGCGCAAAGCTTTCAGCACGTGCATATCCCACCTGACCGCGGTCACCTTGCTCTTTGGGACCCTCTTCTTCACCTACGTGCGCCCCAGTTCCCGCTTCTCGGCAGATGCAGATAAAGTGGCTGCTGTGCTCTACACCATGGCAATCCCCATGCTGAACCCCCTCATCTACAGCCTGAGGAACCAGCAGGTGAAGGCCGCGCTGGGGAGGCTGACACAGAGGAGAGGGTTTTCTCTGTGAACACATGGCGGGCACAGCACCGCTTCCCCGCGACGCGTGCCCTAATGCACTGATGGCGATGCTTGTCTCAAGGGCAAGCTGGTGCCGCGGCGGGTTTGGTGACGCTGTTTTGTGTGCAGGGGAAGTGTTCGCCAGCGAAGGCTGCCCGAGGTCATGTGCAAAGAGAAAATACCAGGGCAGAGCAAATCCTTGACACAAGACAGAGCTTGACTGAAGGCCAGCTGTAATTTTCCTCCGGCTGTATACGCCGGCTGCAGAAAAATCAATGCTGTTTTGTGTTTTACTTGCAATAGCCCCATGCCAGCCCATATAATGGAGCAGCATAACCCGTGGGAAGGGCTATCGCCTTCCTCCCGCGGTGTGGGCCCTTGTGCAGCCTTGGGAAGACGTGGGGCTCTGTGACACGGCCCCCTGCTCTTCCCAGGGAGCTGGAGCCGCTTTGGGCATTGCTGTTTCTCCCACTTCGGAGGAATTGCTGGCAACCAAGTCTTCTCGGCTTGCAGGGCCTTGGGTGGCAGGCAGGACAGCTTTGGCTCTGCGCACTCATCCCGACCACCTCTTGCATGTCCCATGGGGGCAGTCCACGGCGCCGTGTTCGGAAAACAATATGTGTTTCCAAAGCCGCACGTTGTCTGCTTTTTTTTTTTTTTTTTTTTTTTGATTCAATTGCAATTGAGGACTTGCTTGCTTTTGTAAAAAAGGTACCAGGGGAAAACAGCATGGGCAGAGGAAAACCTGGCATTTGGGGCTGGAAAACCAATTTGCCTCTGTGTGCGGCCGGCTCCGGGTCCTCCTGCGCTTCCCTGCAGCAGGACCTGCAGCTCTAGACTCGCTTGCTGAGCTAGCAAGGAAACTCCAAGCCACCCAGCAGAAGCTGACACTTAGCTCGTTTTCAAATAGCTTTGCAGAGTACAGGCTCGCACTACAAAGACACGACATTGCTTCCAAGGGATATTTTTATTTCCTTTTGAAGTCTTTCCCGATGTGCTCATTCAGTCTATTTAACATTTCTTTCCAAAGTGCTCCTTGAAAAAGACATGTTCTTCCTTAAAACATGAAGGTAACTGCAAAGGTGGCTTCTTGCCCCAGAACAAGCCTGCTATTTCTATGGCATTTCATACATGAAATATACACTTTATGTGAATCTTTTATTGCTTATAATTACAAATTCATACTTCATATGAAACAGGCGCCCGAACTTTATGACCATACAGCAGCAGCAAAATAAATTTGGCACTTCAAACATCCCTTCCTTTACTGGCTGATGCAATATTTATTAGCTTGGCTTCTTTGGGAAATGAGGCTGCAACGATGTCTGCACGCACATTCTGACGCTCTCCTAACCACAGCAAAGCCCTTTCCCAGTCCAACCCGGCAGAGGGATAAGGTCTCACAGGTGCATTGGGTTCTCCAGGGGCTCGTGCTTCACTCACATGAGCTACCCCCGGAGACCGAAGGAAAATCAGTGACAGGGTTCCAAGGCACAGCCACCCATTTACACAGTCTTCCAGATGATGGAAGCCAGTGGGCAAAAGTTGGTAGGAGCTGGACGTATCACAGCACTCGGCTGACCCTCTAGGATGGCTTTTGTCTTGGAATAATACCCCAGACTATCCCAAACTGCAAACCAAATTTCCAGAGTCTGGGTTGAGGGATATCGGACGTTCAGATCTGTGTACCCAGCGCTGTCTAGCTCCTGTACTTTCTCCATAAAAGTCTGAACCACCACCACTACCTATCCTCATGTTTTGCACAGCTTTGCACCTTAATTTGGATTCCCGCAACCTGGACCCTCTTCTAATGCTTCCTTCTCTCGTTAGCTTAATTGCCTGGACCAGCAGGGCTGGGGAGCCCTCTGGAAGAGGGGCTTCACCCTTCCCAAGCTCAGACGGTGGCCATAGGCACAGACAGCTGCAGGAGCAGCCGGACACGTGAGAACGGAAATCAGAGAAGCGTCGGGAACACGCCGGGAAGGAAAGGAGGTCGCTCCAGCCGCTGCAGGAGGCCATTCACCAGCCGCGGAGGTTGCCAGCCTCCACCACGCTCTTTCCCAGAGCCTGACGGCCGTGACACTTAGCATTCCTCCTGCTATCAAATTTAATCTTTTGGGAGTCAGTTTAAGCCATTCTTTTTCCACCAGTGACAAAGAAATATTTGTTCCCTGTCCTTTTTATTTTTTTTCTCAGGCGCCCTCTTTTTTTCTGCAGAGTTTTCAGCGCGTTGCCCATCAGCAGTGCTCTCTAGACCCTGGGCATTGCTGTTGCTGTCTTCGTCGCTTGTCTTCTCCGCAGAAAGGTGCCTTGGGCAGCTCTCACGCAAGAGTGGGACGATAGGAAAGACCAGTTCAACCGTGGCACTCGCACATGCATTTCTGAGGCTCAACAAAGGTGCTTCCAGAAGACCACAGACTGCTAGATCATCCAGCCACTGTAAATGCCAACTTTAGACATTCTAGTCCTCAATCCATTAATTATTCCCTCAATACCGCAACGGAAAGTCATTTGGTAATGGGTATATGACCCTCCAGGATGGTTTTCCTGTTGGAATAATACCCCAAACTATCCTAAACTGCAAGCTAAATTTCCAGAGTCTGGGTTGAGGCCAACAGCTGGATTACTTGGGAATCCATATCCCTTAGAGAGACTGTTTTCTTCTCTTGATGTATTCAGACAAAAAGCAGTAGCCAGTTTTATCCTTCCTCCTGGTCACCAATTTGGAGTTCCCTAAAGAGTCTCCGCTTGAATGATAAAAGAAAACCCCCATTTTAGAAAGCTGCTTAAGAGTGGATTGATTTTTTTTCCATAGTGCTGTCAAAGAGTATAAATCCCCAAAGAGTCCTGAAATCATGAGAGGAGGTTAAAAATCATGAAAGACAGACTATTAAATATTTAAAATAATTGAGAATAACCTCTCATTGAAGCAATTCCCACTTGCGTTATTTGTGAACCTCCAGACTTTGCCGTGGCAATTAGCTTCTTTTATTTCTTTTTCTTAATAAATAAACATTGAGATTTTTTCCCTCATAATGACAAGGCTCCGGGCTGCGATACTGGGATAAAAGCTGCTGAGACCAGTGGGACTCATGACCTAGGAGCAGGCAGCTGCCGAATGGGAGGCGCGTTCTCCGCCGGTGTCGCTGCGGGTGATGGATGTGCGACCGGCGCGGAGTCCTCTGTGCGTCACCCGAGAACGCTGCGTCTTGAATTTCTAGTTTGGCCTTGCCAGGGAAAGGCTTCTCCCGGCTGCTTCCCAGGCTTTCGTTCCGGGTTTGTCGCTGCTTCTCAGCAGCCGTGCGCCCTTACTAGGAGCTCTTTTCTGAGACAAACACCAAAGGAAAAGGGTTTTAAAACAGGGCAAAACGATGAGGAAAAAGCCTGGTGCGGAGCCAAGAGAGAACCATCAGCAGCTTCACTTAGAAAATGAAATAAAAGAGCTCAGCTTAGGGGAATTCACCGTGTTGAGAAAATTGTTTCCTGAGGCAATGGAAGAAAAGCAGACTACGATCCGTGACAGCCCCTCGTCTCCCGCGCTTGCTGGTGCTCCCGCGTGGGCAGGACCAGCCTCTTCTTCCACCGCTTCAGATGCACGTTGGCCTCCGCGGGCTCCAGCAGCATTTCCCCTTTATCAGGGAGGGCCTGGGGCAGCATGAAACCCACAAAATGAAGCCATTGCTCTTTCTGGGTCACTCTCCTCCCCACATTTCCTGCTACACATCTTTTGTACTTGGCTCTTTCAGCCAAAATGAAGCAGCACATTCTTGAGACATCCCCATGGAGGAAAAGAGACAAGCTGGCCTTGATCTTGCAATAAAACCAGCCTTTTGTGATGCTTGGTGTCGGGGTGTTAGTTTGTTAAACCGGCACTTGGGTCTTCTGCTCACAGTCAAGATCTTGGCCATGCAAAGCTTTGCAGATATGTTTACGTGCCAGAGAAATCCTCCCCTCCATCTACATTTTGGTGCTGCACTCAGCGTTGTACATCCCAGAGATCATTCGTGCCTTGTGAGCCAGGTGAGTCACGGGAAAACAAGATCGGAGAAGAGACTAGGAGCTGTCGCCGCCCTGCTCAGGAATTTCTTTGCTTGACCCGTTCCTCTGATGTTTCCACAGGTCAGACTTCCTGCTAACAAACCCCACGGCATTCATTTCCCAGCAGAAAGCAAGGGTTTTCCATAAGGATTGTATCCTACACCTTCCTTAATGTATGATGTCTCTCAGTACAGTGTACACCCCACAGGTTAACTCATAACCAGCACGGGATGTAAGGAAATGCCAGTGCCTGGAGTTAGCTGGGAAGACGTGCACACAGCAAAAATCAGATTTATTGAGTTATTATGCTAAGACTGGTCAAGATGAAGCATGAATGGAAATATTCAGGAGAAATGAGGACACCAGAACTGCAAGTATTGACAACCACAGCGACCACGACCACAGTGGTGATACATGTGCTGCTTACACCGAGCCCAGGAAGGCTTGGGAAGGTGCCAGAGGGCAGGAGGTATTAGAGAATTACTTTGGTCAAAATAATATTCAAGAAAAGGGACTGCTGCTTTAAAGGCCCACGGAGGCCAAAATAATTTTGTGCTTCAGCCATCTCGCTATACCCTTCTGCAAGCACTGGTGAAAGAGCCATGAAATCCTCAGACTAATTAATCTGCGTCATCATTATTAAAGAATTCACTATAGAATTAGTTGCAGCAATAGCGACAGCAATTAATTATTGGCAGTTATTAGCTCGTTAATTAGCACGAAGAATCATCTCGATAACGTTAAGCTCTAGAAATCCCCCTAGTAGCTCCAAAATAACTCAACCCCGGATCCACCTGGGACTTGGTCCTGGTCCTACAGCAAGACCTCCACAAAGCTCCAAACCCCAAGCTGTCTTTGGAGGGCAGGGGAGATGCCCAGTCCCCCTTCACAGGGACCCGCAGAGCGCCCAGGGCGTCAGCATCGCTTTCCCTCTCCGCACAAAGAGCATCCAGACCCGAGCGGGCCGGAATCCGTGTTGGTGCCGGGCCGCTCCGGGTCACGGCCAGGCTGTTTTCCCACAGACGTCAGAACCCCCCACAGTGGCGTGGGGACATCAGAGGGCTCATTAGAGGGTGACACCTGCCATTAGGCTCCGGGTGCAATGTTTGCGCAGGGGGATCATTAGCCATCCTCTAATTGCCTCCTTCCCTCCCTCTGCTGCTATTAAAGCGACTGCTAAGAAAGAGTTTGGTGGGACCGGAGCAACCGGAATGCTCAAGCGCTGCCTTGCAGAAGAAGCGGAAAAAGAAAAAAAGATCATCAAGAAAAAAATCATCAAATAAATAGATGTCTATGTCCATATAGAGATTTTTATATACAGGACTGTAAAATATGACACGTGTTAGTTTTTTGGTGAACCGAAACAATTCAGTCCCCCGGGGCCAAGTCAGAACATGGGTTTTTTTTCTGCTTGTTGAGTAATGGTCTCTAACCACAACTCGATTTATTTATCGGCAGCTCTCGGGTGTTATCCTAAAACAAAATAAAAATAATAACAAAAAGCCTCTTTGGACATCCAGAGCACTTCACCACGCTTTGCCCCTACCGTAATTTATTCCAGGCATCCCAGGCGCCAGGAGCGAGCGGCCGGAGGAGGCAGCACTGCAGGAATCCCAGCAAATCCCCAGCCCTGGCGTTGGGCTCAGCGGGCCGGGATGGGGCAGTGGCCATTCCCAACCCACCACTTGTCCTCTTTTCCCTTGGAAAAGGGTGCATAAAAAGGGGTGGAAAAAGTGCTCCTGGGCAGGAAAACGGCAAAACAATGCCAAAGGTCTGGCAGAGGAGGCACAAGCGGAGTAGAATCCCTGTCTGCCCACCGGTGGCTTTGCCCTGGTGAAAAGGGACCCACGCAGCTGCAGCTCCCTGTCGCCACTGCAGCTCTCGCTTCAGCCTCCTCCTCCTCCTCCTCTCCCGGGTTGGGGTGGGCAAGGGGAAGCAGCCAGGTGAAATAGGGGAAACGAACCCAGCATATAGAAAGATTCACTTTTTGTTCTGGCAGCTTTCGCAGCAGAAGTAGATTGCACAGTTTATTACGCAAAATTTAAACAACAACAAAAAAAAGGAATAAAAATAAAATCCCAGAGCCTGCTTGCTGTTACTGGGGTTAGCACCCGGCCATGCTCAGCCTGCTCCTGGGAAGCCCTAATAGCTATGGTGGGAGAGGGACACTTGTGCCATGCCCTGGCCAGGTCCCCAGGCCCGAGCGGGGCCTTTGCCGGGGTCTCCGGCAGCGGCTCTTCCAAGAAAGAAAGGAAAAATGTGTCCACCTTCCCCGCTGTGCTGTCCCCATTTGCCGAATGACGCGAGAGAGGTTGGCTCCCCTCTTCCTCCTTCCCCTCTCCGCTTGGCCAGTGGCTCTTTGGGTCTCCGTGAGGCCGCCCCAAAGCTCTCGGGACCGAGGCTGGCGCTTGCCCCGTGCTGCACACAGGACCTCATGGGGCTGGGCCCGGACCGTGAAAGAGCCGGGGGCCCCCGTGGGGAGACGCAGCAGCAGAAGTCCAGAGGAGTCCCACAAGCATCAGCCAAGGGCGACCCTTGCAGCAGGACACCAGTGAGGAGAAGGCCCCATGCGAGGTTCCTCCTCGGGGGTCTCCGCAAGGGCAGCATTCACGGGGAGAGGGAGAGCTTGTGAGGGGAGAGGCCCTCCCTGTCTCAGCTCTGCCCGGGAACTTCCCACTTTGGGCAGCTTCTCCTTTCTGTTTTGCTAATCCAAGCCGCCTAAAGAGGAAGCAGGTAGCAGCTGCATCCCCAGCCAGCTCATTTCCCAGGCTGCCGCCTCGCCGCTCAGACGTCCGACGGGGTCCGGTGCCGCTCCAGCCATGAGCCGAGCGCTCTGGGGGCTCCTCCTCTCCTGGATCACGGCAGCTCAGGTGAGAGGGATGCAGCAGGTCCAGGAGTCACCATCCCCTGCGGGGTTTCCAGGGTGCAAGAAGGCCATGCAGCTCTCAAGCCTGGAAGTCCTGCCTGGAGGGGGCTGGGATAACCTCAGGAACTTGGACATGGGCAGAGTCATGAACTTGGGCTACTCGCTATGCAAGACCACAGAAGATGGGTCCTACATCATCCCAGATGAGGTCTTCACCATCCCTCGCAAGCAGAGCAACCTGGAAGTCAACTCAGAGATCATTGAGTCCTGGAAGGATTACCAAAGCACCACCTCTGCCTCCATCAACATGGAGCTGTCCCTCTTCTCCTCCATCAATGGCAAATTCTCATATGACTTTCACCGGACCAAGACTCACCAAGTCAAGGACCAGGCGGTCACCACCCGAGTCCAGGTCAGGAACCTGGTCTACACCGTCAAAATCGACCCAGGAGCAGCCCTGGACAAGAGCTTCAAGAAGCAGCTGCTGCTGATTGCCAGCCACCTGGAGAACAACCAGACGCGGATGGCCGATTTCCTGGCGGAGCTGCTCGTGCTCAACTATGGCACCCACGCCATCACCTCCGTGGACGCCGGAGCCACCTTGGTCCAGGAGGATCAGGTCAAGGCAACCTTCGTGAAGGACAGCTGGGCCACGCGGAGCGCGGTCACCGCCTCGGCCGGCGTGGCCTTCCACAGCATCATCGAAGCGAAAACCCAGGGCTCCGAGGACGTCAGCTCTGCTTTCACCAAGCAGTACATGGAGAACCGCACCAACTCCAGGGTGGAGAGCATCGGCGGCATCCCCTTTTACCCGGGCATCACCCTCCGCACGTGGCAGGAGGGCACCAGGAACCAGCTGGTGGCCATTGACCGCTCGGGGCTG